CAAGAAGAAGAAGAAGAAGAAGAAGAAGAAGAAGAAGAAGAAGAAGAAGAAGAAGAAGAAGAAGAAGAAGAAGAAGAAGAAGAAGAAGAAGAAGAAACAAAACCTACCAATCGATCTTACTCTCACTTTATTGTAACATTCTCCTCGTCTCTCTGCTTTTGTGAGAGAAAAACGTCCTTGTCTTTCTCTCTGAGTAGAGATGAAATAGGTAAACCTTATAAACGGTTCTTTTTCCCCGAAAAAAACAAAATTACAAGAATTCACATGAAAGAACGGAAAGAGAGAACAACACAATGGTTTAGGTTAAATACAAAAAAAGGAGTCGTCGTCTATGTGGACACAACATTTTGAGATTCATCTTTACCACAATCAGTAGTTATTATAATGTAACAAACGAAACATAATGCTGAAACTTTCTTGTTTTGTGAAGATGTATCCAAATGTTTGTGATCCCATGATTGGTGTATCCATGAACAGTGAACATGCTACTTGGAATCAGTGACACGGCGTGATGGAATCAGTCGCTCGTCAATTTTTGGACATGTTGGGTTATTGGTATCACCTTCAAGCTTGTTCATTTCTCTTGCTTTTGGTTTTTAATTTTTTTTAATGTAATACCCATGTATCTGGAATAAAGGTTCAGATATTAGCGACTGAAGGAGGGGACTGTCGCCTGGTTTCTGAGATAAAATCAGCAGAAATTGGCCTCCAAACTCTATAGCATGAGAGTACTTGGAAACTGAACATTTACCTTTTTTAGTGCTTTTAAACAACGTTTTTCAGTTTTTAAAAATCCGCACAAAAATGTGTCTTTTTAAATGAGCATAAAAGGTGTTGATCCAAAAAGAAACCCGAAAAAAACTAGCAGAACCGGCGGAGAAAAATTGCCGGTTTCTACGATTTCATTATTCTGACTAGCACCTGATTTCACCAGGATACTTCACCAACTGTGGGCGTCTCAAATAAACATGTTAAAAAGGAACAACACCAAAATTTCCCTTTTCAGCTAATGAAAAAGTGGGATAATATTTGCAGCATGTATAAGAAGAATAAAGCTTCGAAAGTTGCACAGGAGGATGGGGCCAGTGGTTGCCATGGAAACAGACAGACAAAGCAGTTAGATGCCGTTAACCAGTATGTCCCCCCCCCCCCCTAGTGCTGCCCGTACAACACTGCAATGCCTCAAGACTTGTACTACATGGATCCCTTATACACCCCTGTGACCTTCTTTGACATCGACAGCCGTCGCCCTGGGAGGAGGAGCAAACGTGCCACCAAACACGTAAGTTGGTAGATAGATAGATAGATAGATAGATAGATAGATAGATAGATAGATAGATAGATAGATAGATAGATAGATAGATATACATTGCCACACTGAAGCGTGTGCGCTCGCATGCTTTTACATGCATACACACAACACACACAATATGCACACCAACTCAACAACGTGCTCGTTCTAGCTTAAGCCTATCCGTGCCGTGCGCCCTGGTGTCAGTTTGTACCCCCAGGGTTGGTATTCTTCACATTTTAGAATACTTCTAGTGCTAAGATCTCTTTGAAACTTTCAGTATTTCTCAAAATTTTGACAGACTGCTATGCAAAGCGTGCGGATCGGATTTAACGAGTAAATTTCCTCTTTAGAAAGTGGTGGCGCAGAGTTCCCCACGTCGTATGGATACGATAGTAAAACACGACGTATAGATAGGGTTAAACACACACACACACACACACACACACACACACATATACACACACACACACACACACACACACACACACACACACACACACACACACACACACACACACACACACACACACACACACACAGACAGACACACGCACACACATACACAGACAGACATCCTAAGTTGTCTTTGTGGTGTCGGTGCGACAGATACAGAAATTAATTCGTGTCAACTGCAGTGATGTTACTGAATACCCAGTGGTACATATGAAACACAGAGACACACATAGAGAGAGAGAGAGAGAGAGAGAGAGAGAGAGAGAGAGAGAGGGGGAGATGGGGGGGGAAAGAAGGGAGAGAGAGGGGAGAGAGAGTGAGAGAGAGAAAGTTTACAGAACGGAGTTGTTCCGGTGAGAAAGAGAGAGAGAGAGAGAGAGAGAGAGAGAGAGAGAGAGAGAGAGAGAGAGAGAGGTGGAGAAAGAGAGAGATAGAGAGACAGACAGAGAGACAGAGAGACAGAAGAACATATATATATATATATATATATATATAACTGAACAGACGTTTTTTAACTTGTAATATTATGTTTAAAATGCCTTTTCTTGATATGGGTATGCGCGAGTGCACCTTGCCTTTGTAGTACAACTACCATTGTAAACGACTAAGATAAATTTCTCACTGAGAGATAACTAAAGATTGTCATTGTCATAGTGAAAATACTTAAATTTACAACGTTTGATTCCTCAGATGATGAACCAGTTCAACGTGGTATGCGGCAACTCGACACGCTACAGCAAACCTCACGGCACGTCCGGAGCCCCCAGCTTCACCTCCACCAACTCCACGGTGGCCGATAAATCCAGCACCTCCGTCACCGGCGGAAAATCCTCACCTGACATCAACGCCAACTGGAGCCTCTCCTACCACGGAGACCTGGCGCCTGGTAAAGTGGGCGCGTTTATGTATCCATCCAAAATGTCTGTATGGTCTTTCCCGGTGGTTCCCCAAGCAGATTCTTGCTGTGACATGCGGATAACTTGAGAACGACAGATGTACACCATTGGCCGATATTTATAGTAACAACCATCTTGTTTGACGTCATTGAGGGATTCACACTTTGTTGTCGTTCAAGGTGGCAACACGACCGCAGAGCACTTTTGCAGTATTTTTAAAGCCTGTAGCCTACAGTGGCGGGGTGGCTGAGTGGTTAGTGTGCTTGTCTCCAAAGCAGAAAGTCCAGGTTCAATCATCGGTTCCGCCACGGATTTTTTTTCCGCCCACCCACTTGCAATGGGTACCTGACTTCGAGTTGGGGAAGTAAATGACATGGGGAAAATAAAGTAGATTGTTCTCAAATATACCTGCTCAGTTATACGAGTCCACATTTAGTTCGTGCTTTCTTTCTTTTCTTCTTATCTTCTTCCTCTTACTTCGTTCTCTCGTCTAGACCAGGTAATCAGCCTTCGAAATAACTTAGACAAATATGCGTGTCAAGCGAGGTGTAAAACACACATAAAAAACAAGGTTTTCTTATTCTTCAAAACAGCGATGCCATGTGATAAACGTCCAGCACTGCATATTATTATCGTACCTATCCTGGCTATGATTTAACTTTGACCAACGTTAGTTGTTGAATCTGAAAACACTGAGTCAGTTATCTCAATGAGCTTTCCTTCCTCAGCTTCAGTAACCGGACATGGTATCACATCCTGTAATCCAAACGTTCCTCTCCGTATCAGTTATCACTGAAAAACATATACTTTCAAGGCTTTCAGTTAGAATAGTAATATATATATATATATATATATATTTGAGCATTACTTGAAGTTTTGTGGTATTTCATTTCTGGTTTAAACCAGTTTAAAATATTTGAGAAAATGTTCCGAGTCAAACCTGATTCGTGTAGGAATGATACCCCTGAAAGCTTACTTACGCCCTAGGGGTCAATGGTGTTTAAACAAAGCAGTTTTGCATCTTTGTGATCGTTTGTGTCTCTCTTTACTTTGCAGGTGATAGAGACCCAGGTGGCTCAGGGCGGAAATCGGAGAACTCCGAGTTGGACCGAAGTTCCAACAGATCCGCTTCCGGCTTGGATTTGTTGACATCCCCTTTCCCTGCAGACGCCCATACTCATCACGACTCCATCTGCTGTCCGTGTCGACTCCGAACAACGAGTCTGGGACATTATGATGCGTCGAGTGAGAGGGGAGACTTCAGATCGACATGGAGGAGCCGATCTGTGTCTCCGTCATCCAGGACAAGCACCGAGGATCTGCCCGGAGCTTGGAAAACGTCCGATAAACATGTGTACGGTCTGGAGGACTTGCTTCATCGGTTACGTCGCGTCACTTCAAGTTGTTCTTCACTTGAACACGAGTCTGGGAGGATCCAGGAATCCCCCACCTCATTGCAATCAGCAGGCCACAGTTGCCGTGCGGTTCCTGCTGTAACAAAAAGGCACCGAGGACGTGGCGCGGAAAGCGTGTCTTCGACAAGCTCAGAGGAAATCTTCCCGAGCCATCGAGGGATTCAACAGTGTCGTACAAAGTTTGGTGTTCGCTTCAGCGACAGTGTCAAATTCAACTCCGAGACTCAAACAACACCACCTCCGTTTTTGCCTCGCTCGCATGAGATGAGCAAACATACTCGGGGAGGTCACGAGCCAGACTGTTCTCGCGAGAGCGGCTGGGAAGATGATCTTACCGATGACAATGAGGATGACGACGAAGAAGAGAATCTAACTCTGCCAGAGATCCAGATCGATAAGAGAATAGATTTGTACAGGAGAGCAGGAATTAGATTTTCCCACCTGCTTTAATACACTTTACTGCGTACGGGAGGAAAAGAAAGACCAAAGCCAGAGGCTGTTGTTATAACCCTTATCTGAAACAAAAAGGTCTGATTTTGTAAGCAATACAAAAGACTAGGATTCTGAAACCGAGTTTTTCGGCTTTGTTGTATGGTCACTAAATTGTTAATAATAGGGGTGGAATCAGATTACTATAGGGGTTTTTTTTAGCTTAAGTCCAGCCGTGTCGTCTTACAAAGCAAAGACATCTTTACCAGTATTTGAAGTCTTCGTTTTTTTGTGCAGATGCCATGCATTCAGCATGGGAGTACTACCTCAGGGTAAAACAGGCACTACCTGATGGTTTCATGGAATAAACTATTTAGCAATGTGATTAATATATAGATACATTTATCTGTGGCTATACGGTGTGTAATCCTATCTTAGCAAAAACACATAATATAGTGCTTAAAGTAAAGTGTAAATACTGTTCGGTTTCTGCATCATTCGATTATTTAATATAGATGACTGGTATTAAATTTTAATTTTGGAAGATTCACAAAAATCCTATTGTTTTAAATGAGCTGTGCTAGGATCCCTAAAAATGTTAAGTTCACTAGAAACGGGGAGGGGGGAGATTGAACGATAACAAATGACTTGGTAATGTATACGAGGTGGGGAGTGGTAGGTAGGAGCGAGCGCGAGAAATTTAACAAAGAACCTGACTAGTATGTTCGAGCTATCTGACGTCCCTCTGTGTTGGCTTTCGTCTGATCTGAAATCTTAAGGAAAAAGATATATTTGTTTTATTGGGTTTTTTAAACAACATTTTTGATCTCGAACTGTATTCAGAGTAGAAAGTATTGAATTCGTATTGGAAATGGCTTCTTAAAAACGTTTTTGTACAAAGACAATAGCAGTGCCGTTGAACAGCCTTAAAGAAATCAACTTGAATAGCATATTATTCTACTCCAAACTTTTTGGGATCAAAAAAAGGAAAATATTTTTCATCGGGATGTGGTGGGAGGGAGCAATCAGCTGTGCACTTATTATATAGAAACTTTGAAGTTATCTTACTCCCAGGCAACATTTTGGTGAGAAGTTAAAGGTGGAGTTTATTTGGGTGAGTTTTATTCCTTAATTTTTTCTACTTTTGAGACGTCGTGTTGTCTTGAGGAATTTTATCAAGTGTAGTTACAGCTTATGCCCCTAATGTCTTTTAGTGTGACACTCTGATGATTTTGTTTCAAGCAACAAACAATAATATCACTCGAAACTCGTGCATATTTTTTTTTTGGGGGGGGGTGTTCAAATGTCGAACATAATTGTATTCTTCTTGAAATGACTAGGCCAAGCAGTGTCGTACATCTGAACCATTAATCGATGGATTAGAATAATGAAAGGGAATCTAGAATCTATTTACTTCAAACATAATCTTCAAAAGACGATTTCTTGAAATTGTACTTGAGATTGAATATTGTGCTCCTGTGAAATAAAAGTTTCTAATGTTAACCATGCAGTCTTTTCTTTGTAGGACTTGGGACAAACCAAATACATGCAACATTTTATAGTTGGTTGCACACTTGCTGAATGATTTTCAAATTCAACATCACCTCACTATAAAGTATAACAATATACTCACTTTATCACTATCTCTGTCTCTCTGCTGGGATGTAACTAACTCGACCCTGACGAGCTGAGTCAAAGCAGCCTAACTCATACTTTACTCACAGGTTATTTAAGTATTATCGACTTGGGCACAAAACATTAAATAATCAGAGTCATTATTTCCAAGGTTGCTTGTTATCGAAGGACTTAATAAATGGTCCAAGCACTCCAATATCTCTCGTTGCATATTATCAAGTCACAGCCATTTGCAGTGACGCCATCGAACGAAAATTCTGAGAGGCATTTGGGTAATTCCCCGGGACTCGTTGATAGACTAAAAAATAATAATAATTCTACGTGCACATGCTTGACATGATCCTTCAAAAATTACAGGGTTTTTTCACTGTGCTCCTAGCAAAGATTTTTTTGTTGTTGTTGGGTTTTTTTTGTGCTTGTGGGGTTTGTTTTGGTTGTGTGTTGTTTGTTTTTTGTTTTTTTTGGGGGGGGTTGTTGGCTGACTGGGGTTTTGTTGTTGTTGCTATTGTTGTTTTTTGTGTTTTACGTGTGTGTAAGGGGGGGGGGGAGTTGTTGGTTGGACTGTTGGGGGGTGTCTTGTGTTTTCTCGTTATTTTGGTATGATTTTATTTCTGTTTTGCTGTTCTGTTTTGTTTTGCATTTGTTTTGTTTTGTGATGTATATTCTTTGGGGGTGCTATTGGGTTGGGGAGGGGGGGGGGTTATTTTCTGTGTTTGTTTGGTACTTTATTTCATTTTTTCTTTTTTTTTCTTTCTTTCTTTGTTGTTGTTGTCCGTAGTTGCTGTTTGTTGTGTTTTGTTTTGTTTCGTTGTTCTTTTCTGTTTTGTTTTGTAGTTTATATACATATAACTGAAATTGGAACGATATCTTTAAAAAGTATCATAGAATCCTGCATTTTCCCTTGACTACTTACTCCGACTTTATGAATATGAGAGGTGGTCCTCTTTTCTGAATTAATACATTGTTGGAATTTATTTAAGAACGTTTTTTCACGTAAAGATGGTACTGCTTTCAAACACGCCGTGACCATCAATAGTGTTAGTATATTAACATTGATAGTTAAAATTTGCTTTATATCATGTGATATCTTAAGACTTTAAATTTTCACTTATGTCGTAGATTCCTAACACTTATTTTAAATGGGTGGTGGATAAATAACATCTATCTTAAAGCATTTTAAGGAATTTCCGAAAGGTTGAAGTGTTTTCATTTTGTTTTGTAGTTTATATACATATATAATATATATATATATATATATATATATATATATATATATATATATATATATATATATATATATATATATATATATGGGAGGGTTGTCTTTTAAAACAAGAAGGCATTTATATCACTAATCAGATGTCAAAATGTTCTCGATACTCTGAATTGATTTTGAAATGTCAGAACAAAATGCACAATTCACTTCCGATAATGATATTATTATATTGCGAAATTACCCTGTACGTTTTTTGTTTATTTTTCTGCCGGGAAAACATCCAACGCTTGATAAATATATCTTTCAGCGATCATTCAAATTAGATTATGTTTAGGAAAAACATGTTTGTCTTTGTTCAGTTCTTGCCGATGGATGGTCTGTATATAACCGTTTTTTAAATTATTTTTTAAGTAGAAGAGTAGAACATCGCTTCATGAATACATGCTTTCGTGTCGTGTCATGAACGGAAAAGGAACGTCAGATAAGTTTTTATAAGTATTATTTTGAAGGTAACATCAGGAAAACGTTTTTCTTAGGATTCGTAAAGTAGCTTCAATCCTCATTCTGTGGGAGATAACGCTACTGATGGCAAAATAATTCAGCATGAGAAATACAAAATGTCACAAGATAAAGAGATGCACATTTATCTTGAATGCAAGTTATCAACTGTCATTATTATCTTGAATATTAGTTGTTGGTTGTTGTTGTTTTGTTGTTGTTGTTTTTTTTTTTGGGGGGGGGGGGGGTTCAGATAAAAAATTTTCGTGACACACCCTCCTCTACGATACCCCCCCTCCCCCAATAATAATTGATGAATAAAATACGCATGGACTATATAATAATGGCGTTTTCTGCTTTGCAGTAAATGTCCTTATTGACGACCACTTATCAGTTCTTGACATCCCAGGATTGATCTATTCCAGTCCAGGGTGTCTTCATACTACGTATATTGCTGTGCCATTTGAGAGTCTGGGGTGATAGTCATTTCCACCGGAAACTTTTAGCTGTAAAATAACAACAGGTGAACATGCTCTTATCATTTGAATTGGAAACTACTGCAATTCTTCAGCAAATTTCTTAAGCCAAAGGATCAAATCATGAGCCCCTTCTAATGAAAAGGTTTGCAAGGTTTGACAATAATCTTTATGTTTTGAGCATCTGAGAAAAAATTGGGAAGAAACTTTTTATTAAGTTGATCGAAGATTGTGGTGGCCTCATTCATAATCCCAGATTACCTCTTCTGTCCTAACTGAAGAAACATTTGATGAGTTAAATGGTATGTCTTTCACCATTTTGTATTTGAAGATAAAGCTAAAATCTGAGTAGAGCGATGGTTTTGTTTATTACATAATCCCGTTTATACGGAACAAAATCCTGAACATATTTTAAAGCTAATTATTTATGAATTGGACTTTATATTTTGCCTTTTAGTATTAGAAGACGCTATAAGAAAACGGTATAGTGTTCTGTACTCTCTCAGACTAATATAGCTTCTTGTTTTCTCCGAATATTATGTCTCAAATTTGGAAAAACACATCTGTCTTGCACAAAGACAACATTCAAAATGGGCGTGGAGGTTATGGTCTAAGAGAGAAAGAAGTTCTTTCCGAACTTGCCCTCGCTTTAGCAGATCTTTTCGTGAACTGCATAACTTTGGTTTTCATCGGTGTCTTTGGCATTCTCGGAAACGCCCTTAATGTCATTATTCTTCGAAAACATGGCTTTGGCAATTCAACCAACATACTACTCTTCTCCTTGTCACTTTTTGACTTGCTGTACATCATGAGTACTTTACTTCGTCGCAGTATGTGTATTGTGAGTGCGTTCGACCAAACCGCGGCCAAAACAATGGAATCGGTGCAGCTAGCGTTTTTTCTTGGAGCGAACACTGTGCTGGGACAGATTTCGTCTGGACACATCGTTCTCATATCTGCAGAAAGACTGGTTGCAGTGTACTGGCCGTTTAAAGTTTCCGTAATATTTTCACCTTCAAGAACCGTTGTCTCTATTCTCATTGTATCTGGGGGATGGCTCGTGTTTTACGGGCCGATGTTCAACTTGTTCGATTTTGGCTGGACATTCGATATTTCCGTAAACGCCTCAGTAGGTAACGCAATGTTCTCACAGTTTACATTAGAGCACTGGAACTTCCTTAGTCTTCTGAATCTGGCTATAGGGTTCGTTAAAGGACCGTTACAGTTATTCATCATTTTGATTTGTTCACTCTGCACATACATAAAACTGTACAGAGCCAGTAAGGAGCGACAACATTTGTCCACAAACGAAACTCACGGCGTTGACGTCCGAGTTGTCAAAATGCTTCTTGCCGTCTGTTTAGCTTACTTGGTCATGGGCTGTCCAGTTTTTCTTCCAACGCTCATATATCTGGTGTGGCCCAATTTGGCTGAGGTTGACAACCACCCGTCAAGATTGGCAACTCTGCTGGAAATGACGTCAGACCTTCTGAGTTTGACGAATTCATCAATTAACTTTATCATCTACGTCACGATGTCGTCCAAGTTCTACCAGACCTACCTTCAGCTCATCCACGCCTGCGTTGGCAAACAGCAGCACGCAAGGAAGAAACCTTAAAGTAGGACACGTACATTCATCTCGCTGTAACCAAATAGAGTCAGGGAATCAGACTGACAAAATGAGGCATACCTAGCAGGAATAAAGGAACGATTATCCCTAAATACTCTAATGCACTTACGAGCGTACTCTTTGATTACTTCACCATACAAAAACGAGCCCAATCCTGAAAAATAGAAACATCACAATGATTACCAAAACAAAAATTCTGAAATGCTATGTATGGCCAACCCTTTTATATGGCTGTGTATGCTGGACAATCACTAAAGACAGTGAAAATTAAATAGAAATAACAGAAATGTGGTTTCTTAAGAGACTACTGAGAATATCGTGGAAGGAAAGGAAATCAAATGAGGTAGCCCTTGATGAAGCTCACGATGCACAATCACTGTTAAAAACAATCAAGAAACAACATGCAGTTTTGGAAACCTGAATAGACATAAAGGTCTCGAACATCTAGCTCTCACTGGCAAAATTGAAGGTTAACGAGGAAGGGGTAGGCCAAGAGCAACCTAATCAGGGAACCTAAGCAAATGGGTACCGGGGAAAGATCAGGGTAACTTAACTTTTTTAAGAGCATCCGAGCAAAGGAATGAATAGAGAACCATGATCATCGATGTCTGTCGCAGATCTGGCAATAGATGATGATGATAACGAGCATCGACACACTCAAATCATTGCTCAATCATCGTCTACTTTGCCGTCGTCATAATGAATACAGACACACAATATCTCAAAAAAGATACATGCTCGGCAAAAACAGCACCTGCTCCTAGACATAGGTGAATGGTGCCTTTATTGTAAAAAGTGAAAATGTTTCAGGAAAAAGATTGTTGTCACATATTAAACATTCATTTCTTTGGACAAAGAACAAGTTCAGTGCTTGTGAGGATAAACAGATTATTATTGCTTTTGATTTATTATCATCATTATTAATATTATTTTTTTTTTATTATTATTATTATTATTATTATTATTATTATTATTATTATTATTATTATTATTATCGTTAATAATGTCGATATTGTGGTTTTTGTTATTAGTATCATCATTATTA